AACCATGACCCAGCAGAAACTAGCATTGCTCCAATTAAACAGATTAGAAACTAGCACCTGGGGGCTACTACCTGCCCAGGGAGTTAAGAATAATTTGGGATTTCTAGTAAGGTCACACAAACCTCATGAGGTTCAATGAAGGTAAAAGCAAAGTCCTTCTCTACAACACTCCATGACTGTGATGCCTGAGAAGAATCCCAGGCAGCAGGGTAGGCTCTGGAGAAAGGGGCAGGGGGGATCCTGGGGGACATCAAGGTACCCTACAGTGGCAGCATGCCCTGCAGCAGCAATGACATCAATCTCAGCCTCAGCAAGTGTGCAGGCAGAAAAAAGGGATTCCTCCCCTCTGTTTAGCACTGTTGATGCCACAGCTGGATTCCAGAGCCAATTTGGGCTCCTCAGTACAAGACAGACATGGACAGACTGGAGCAAGTCCAGCAGAAGACATCAGGATGGTCAGGGGCTGGAGCACAGCACATTCAAGGAGAGGCCGACTGAGCTGGATTTGTTCAGCTGTAAAAAGAGAGGGTGAAGAGGTACTTTACTGCTGCCTACAGACACTTAGCAGGAGGGTGCAGAGAAGACAGAAGAGAACTCCTCTCAGAGGTGCAGAGAGACAGAGTAGGAGGTAATGGGGATGAGCTGGCACATGGGACATTACCGTTGGATGTTGGGATATTTTTTTTCTCTGCGAGTGCAGCCAAACCTTGGGACAGAACACAGAAAGTCTGAGGCTTCTCCATCCCTTGAGAAATTCAAATCTCAACTGGCCATGGCCTTGAGCACCTGATGTAGCTCAGCTGTTCTGCAATTCAGTAATGTCAGGCAAGAACAATTTCTCAGAAGAACAGCTGAGTATCACCATCAGTACTAGAGGAAAATGTAATATCAGACTGTTAGAGTGAAGAACACAGATGACGAAGACCGTCAAGGAAGTGAAAATCAATAGGGAGAGGTTATGGTCACAGATCTTCACTACCTAATAGATTGAAAACATACAGGAGCTTTCACTACTATACACAGGCACATGATGCCCGGGTCTGGCTTGCAAGGTACAATACCCAGTTTCAGGTATAAATCTGTCCTGATGGGTCTTGTTTAAAGCATAGAGTTGCGGCTAGAACAGCTTACCAAACCTGGAAAAGGAGAGAGGACTAACAGAGTATGGGAGACCAGGCCAAGGCAGAGAGCAAGGCACTATTCAGAATTCAAGCTAAAGGTGCATTTTGGGAGAGAATAGCCCATTAAATATCTTCAGCAAATTCAGTTCTTCGGAGGGTAGCTGTGAATGCTGAGGCAGGAGTGGAAAATCCTTCAAGTGGTTATAAAAAGATTAGGAACAAAGCATGAGTGAAGTGTAGACAGAAGACTTTGCACGTACCTTCCATGCATAGCAAGAAGGAGCAAAAATCCAAGTTCCTGCAGGGAGTAGGGCTGGGACAGCAGGTAGGCCTGTCAGAGGCAAACAAGCTTCTCAGCCTGGCCTATTTTGTAGCACACATTCTGGTCCACTATGTAGGGGCTGACAGCATCAGCCCTCTACAGCAGCACTAAGGGTTGAACCTGAGTCACCAGCCACATCCTGCAAGCAGCTGCAGGAGGATCTGCATCCCTCCCGTAGCACCTGTCCCAGGAGCTGAAGGTTCTGGGAGTGGTGGGGCTTGTTTGCTTCTTTGGTTATTTCCTCTATTCATGGCTCTAGACTTGGTGCTTCTGAATTATGGTAAGTCTCTCTGATGAGAGGGAGCACCATGTTTCCCTTCACACCGTAACCAGTTATGATGCCAAGACAGGTATCTGCACCTTTATGGAGCTGAGCCAGGCACATCGGAATCTCTTAATGCCATGCTGAGCAATACACAGAAGGAAACACTCTATGCCATCTCCAGTATGTTAAAACAAATAACGAAAGGATAAAAGTTAAAAAACCACTGAAGTGATATGAGAGTAAGTCCCCTTTTTCACAGTAGTTTAGACTTTATCTCACTGGAAGCCACTGATCATTAAATATGCAAATCACCTCTGGGAAATGGGTATGTTCTGTGGACATAGAAAGGTCCCTTAGCCCTTTGACAACAGTCTTTTCAGATGAAGGAACAGATAACAGCACATGCCACACTTGGAAGCTGTCTTTTAAGACCAGAACATGATCACTGTGAGAAGATTAGATATTCTAGACAGGCTCATACTATCCTTTGGGTCACGTACATTCATTGACCAGTGTGTCTCCAGCACTAGGGCTGTTGTCTTGGTGCCATCTCCACTGAGGCAGTGTCAGAGCTTTGTTTCCATGCAATCTACCTTTCAGGGCAGCAGCTTCCTGACAGGCAACTTTCTTAACCCAACAGAGCTACTACTGAAATGAGAGAAAATATAGCTCCCATTTCCACTAGTCCCCAGTTGCCCCATTGGGAAATTGCAGGTCCTCCACAAATTACATGCATCAGCTGTTTCCATCCAAAAGATGGAGATGGCAACGCTTGTTGGGCAGCCTTCAAACAGCTTCTTGCTAGCGTGAGTCATTTGTTACCTAGGAGAGGAGCAGGAGGGATGGATCCAACTGAGGCCATTCTGTAGGCAGACTGCACTGAAGCAGCCTACAGCTTCCATCTGCCTTCCAGGAAAGCTCAGCAGTCCCTGACCCTGCCAAGACAGCTGGTCAGGCAGGTGGAAGCAGCCTGGAGGCACACAGATCCACCCCAGTGAGTCTTGAACCACAGGGTAATGTGGGCAGAAGCATTCTCCTCCAGTTTCCTTCAGCTTTGCAGAAAGCCTGCACCAGCATGCAGCCATGGGTATGTGGTCACACAGAGAGGAGCTGATCATGTTTAAATTAAGACCCTGAATGCAGCCTCCATTGCCTGGCTAGGAAAGGAGACCTGCAGTGAAGAGTCCCTGTGGCCTCAGTCACTGCTGAGGCCTATTACCAACAGGGTGCAAGATTGGCCTGTAGCAGGGACAGGGGTGATCTGTTTGAAAGAGCTGGAGTGCCGCTGTGCAGCCTCTTTCACAGTCTCACATTGTGGTTCATGAGAAAGAAGGCAGCTGGGGACATACATGCTCAGCACATGGCAGCCTCAGCAGAAGGTGGGGTCTGCACAGGAGCCCAAGGTTCCCCAGTCCGGAGAAGCACAATCAGCTTGGGTTGACAGTGCAGGAGATAAAAGGAGTGAGGGGTCAGTCTAGCCCTCCCTGCCTCATGGGACCCAGAGCCCCCAGCTGGCTCGCAGCCCCCAGTCCTGTGTTGCTGGCACCTGTGGCCCAGCCTTGATTGCTCCCGCATTTCCAGGGGCCAGGCAGCTCTCTCCTGCCCAGGTTGTTCCCTTGCTAAAGCCTGCACCGAAAGGGTGCAGGTCTCTGGGGTCTCGAGGCTGAAAGCCCAGTGCTTTCAGCTCTCCTGAATGGCACCAAACACACTGATGGAAATGACAGCAAAATTGGACATTGGTCAATAGTGTATGGACCACAGCATCCTCCTGCTGTCCTCACTCCAGGCTCTGGGTTTCACACATTTCGCTTTCAGCTCCTTCTGTGCAAGTGAATGAGATCGGCCATGAAGGCAAACCCCAGTTCCCAGAGCTTCACTAATACTGCAGCTTCCAGCACTAATCCAGGATTTAGATCCTAATGTGTGTGGCACAAAGAGCTCTGTGGGAGCGCAAAGCTGCTGAGCTCCCACCCCACAGTGCTTTCAATGGGATCAGCAGCTTTTCTGCCAGCTGACAAGAACGAAGGAAGGACACCAGCATCTCAGCTGCATTACGGGAGCTGTGGCAAGGACAGCCTACTCAAGAGGCATCTTGCTTCCATGCTGTCCTTTGGCAGGTGGAAAGGATGTGCCCACATCCACAGGGACCCAACTGTTCACCAACAGCTGCAGAGAGGGAGAGGGGAGGATCACACACACCAGCATGGCAGCAAATTCCCTCTTCCCTTAGTGACAAAGATCCTCTCCCCTCCCTTCTGCCTGATTTAGAGTAGAGGCACCAGACCTAGCAGGAATGCACAGAGAAAGGGAGGGGACAGCAGAGGCAGCAGTGAGATCACACAGGGTGCAAATGTCAGCAGAAGTCATGCACAGAGCTGATGATCCCTTGCACCCTTCCCCTCCCACCCCATCCTTCACTCCCTAGGGAGGGGATCTGGATGGAGGGCACTGTCAGAAACCACGCAGCACAGAGCCTGTCTAAAGGGTTGGGAACAGTGGGGTAGGGGATGCCAAGCTGTGAACAGCAGCTAGAAGGAGGGCTTTGGCTGAGGCAGGCGGGGAAGCAAGACATACTTCGTCCCAGCACAGAGGCCTGACCAAATTCATCCCTGATACAAATCAACACCAGGCAGTTTACTGCTGTCTCTGGGGCATCGTTTCCACCTGCCCGAGAGTCAAAATCTCCTCAAGGGTGCTAACTGAGACAGAAGCAAGGGGTTGGCACAAGGCAAGGGACATGCAGACCAGCACTTCACAGAGGGCACAAGGATGGGCTTGCTACCATCAGGCAGCAGCAAGAAGAGGAGCCTACCTGAATCTTCACAGCGATAAGCACAGAGCTCAGCTCTTTGTCCAGCTCTTTCAGCACTGTGAGTTTCTTCAGGCGCAGACTGCAGAGCCTGTAAGACAGAGAGAATGGGACACATTCAGGCACCACCATCCCTGGGGCCCTGCCACATGGCACCCAGTGCTCAGAAGGCAGCCTGGATGCTTGGCCCAGCCACAGGCACAAGCTTGGCTGAGGAACACTGGCATTCATGCACCACCAAAACAGCCCATTGGGGAAAAAAGGAAAGAAGGAAAATTAACAGAGCTAAAGCAGGCTTAAGGGATTAGCATGCGACAGGAAGTCCAACAGCAGGCCATGTGGTAAAGAGATCCCTTCCCAAGTAGGGCTGTTGCCAGCTCTGCTTAAATCTACCTTGGCCACAGTGCTGTTTATTTATAAACCAAAGCACTTAAATCCACTCTTATCCTGGACTTAGTTAAGGCAAATGTTCCCAGGCAGACATCACAACTCAGCTCTTCTCTTTCACAGTACCACACAGAGCTGACTTGGGAAGCTGGGAGCCCCGCAGGAAGCCTCATACAGCAGAGCCACCCTGACAACCTCAAATCCTGGGGACTCAGCATGGTAAGTGGCACTTGCAGAAAAAAAACATGATGGAGCCTGATGCTGAGTGAGAAGAGCTACTTTTGCTGCTCAAATGATTAGCCTGTGAGACAGCCAGCCACCCTGACCTCCTGTCTAGAAGCCTACAGCAAGACTCCCATGGAGACTACTTGCAAGGGACTATCTGTCAGGGAGCACAGGCTAGACACGTTTGTACAAGCAACACTGACACTCTCATGTTTTGCAAGCTAGCCTCTGTGCTCCTTGCTTAATGTCAGCATTGCTGCAGCCAGTAGTACTCAGAACTTCTGTGGATACCAGTGTGCTGTACCCGAGAATTAGGCCACCCTCCCTGGAGAACAGATGGGCTACCACCAAATACCTTTCTGTCTGCTTTCTGAAGACCAAATCTATTCCCTCCTGCTTTTCTTTTTTTTAATATAAAAAACCCTGCTCTTACTATGCTAACATACAGCAACAGCATAGAACAACCCATAGGTGGAATGATACTGGAAAGGGAAGGACAGACAGCAATATTGCTGGAGAGGTTTAGGGTTTAGGAAGCACTCACTTCCTACCACGTCCCTGCCCTCCCTGCTAAAATTATTTTAGCTTATGCAGAAGGTTTGCTGGACTGTGACTGCAACCCTGCTGCTCTGTCCTTCGTGTTTGGATAGCAGGGCATGGAAGGGACCAGAAGTCAGGAAGCTGGGGGTGCAGGCAAGCTCTGCCCACCTCTTTGCCAGATGGCCTGTATCCTTCAGCCAAAATCCAGGGCTACAGCCCCCTAAGCCCCTGTACCCTGGACCCAGCATTGCAATCAGTGATCCCACCTATGTCCACCCCTCCCCTCTGACCTCCCTGCTTGTAGGAAGGGAGAAATCTTATCATCTAGGGCAGGCTTCTTGCTCTGCAGAAATACCTAGGCAAAGTTGGGAGTGAGCTGCGGGGAGTATAGCCAAAGACAAGGAGGTTACCTCTAGGGCAGGGAGGGCAGGATTGAAAGATTGAGGTACAGCAACCACACCAATGTACTAAGGAAAGGCTTGCAAAAGAGTCTAAGCTTAGCTAACACCATCACTAACCAGTGTGAACTTTAACTGTCCCTAGTCCCTAGATAAGTCACAGAGACGAATGAGTCTTGAATGTGTAAGGCAAGGACAGAATGTCTACTCAAATTTTCCATACAGCACTGATCTAGTCGTGACATCTGCCTGAATGGAAAAGTTATTTCCAAAAGATTAAAACTTTATAAGGATATCCAGTCCTAATTTGAGGATATTGAAAGATTGCAATTCTACCTGGCAGTTGTTCTTACTGTAAAACACACTCCTTATCTAAACTAATTCACCCATTAGCTCTTCATGCTCCTCTCTGAGGCACTCAGGAGTCTCATCAGTATCTAGTATTTTTCCTCAGGGAAGAGTATATGCACACAGATCAGCTCTGCCCACTTGGGCAGCTATTTTATCTTCAGTAAGGCATTTTAAAGCTTCTTTATTCTCTTTCTACCCCTTTCCAGTTTTCAAGATCTCTTTTGCACAATGGAAGACCCTGTACTCTGCCCCTGATCCTTCCCATACCACACGCAGGAAGGTGGTTATCCCCTTGCACCCTCTGCTCTTCCCTTCCCACAGCACCCAAAAGTCTTACTAGCCCAGGTATAGTTTGTACCCTGCAACTCCAACTCTTTCTCAAAACAGTGCTTTCTAAAATACCACTACCCTTCCCACAGAGATTAGCACACATGTTCTGGAGTCTAAATGTACTTACTTGCACCACACAAGCACACAGTTTTCAAAAGGGTGCTCCCTAGCAGCTTGGCTGTCCCTGATGACCCTCTTTTGATCTCTTACTTAACCAATAACTGCATCACCCAGACTTGTGTCACTGCTAGGTGTTTAGTGCCAGTACTGAAGAGCAGTGAGTCCCACACTAATCCCTGCAGATCTCTCTAGGACAGGATTGATCCACAGCAATCAGAACGGTATGCCTCTCTGAATCCTTCAGCCAAATCCCATGGCAACTGCCACATGGCCTGGCCCAGAACTGATCACTGTGTGATCCCCTCAAGTCACTGAACTTTTTGGTAGGTAAGTTATAAATCTGGATCCACTTGCTCATGTAATTAAACAGAATAAGTAGCAACTGCTTTTGAGCTGAGGAACTACTGCAAGGACTTCCTCTATCTTGAGCTGTGGTGAACATGGCTGTAACACTGATAGCAACAGTGACTGCCAGCAACAAGGAAAATGAGCTCCAATAGAACAGTCTGACACTACACTCCTATTCTCCACTACTGGTTGTTTACTGGAGAGAGGTACTCACCATTTCCTGGTATTATCTTCAGAAATGCTTCCCTCTTTCCATAACTAACTGAGATGGTCACTCAGCCAAAAATCCCCTTTCCTGATCATGGCTTTTTAAACATTCAAACAAAATCAAGCAGCTCCTACTTTTCACTCATACCACTCTACCTCCTTATTACCTCCTACTAACCTGCTACCAAGCAGGAACACACACCCCATCACTGCTGCTGGCTGAGGAGGTAACAAACAGGAGTACATGTACACATACACACATTCTTACACCCGTCACTGCCGCCACCCCAGCTGAGATGATGGTAACAGAAAGGAGCACACGCACATACACACAGACACGTGCATCTTGACAGCACCACCCCCAGCCAAGGAGCATGTGTGTGTGTGTGTATCAACACATGTGCACACAGACACACAGTTGCACTCAGTTAAGCAAGCACTGACTTTCGAAGTTGGGATTCTGAATTGCAAGCAATTACATCAAAATATGATTGAAGCATGGGGGGATTGTGAAGAGAGAGAAAGAAGCAAACCCAGGAACTCACCAAGTTATCTGTCTGATAGCATTAAAACCTCAAAGGTGACATTTTCTGGAGTACATGATTTTCTAGAGTATGTTCTAGGCATTTTTTTTTTTTTTTTTTTTTTTTTTTTTTTTCCTGCTCCAGTTTGCAGCTTCCCAACTGTTTTCTTCCTCACTACTTAAAGGATGAATTTGGTGGTTTTGCTCTGAAGTTTGATGAAACACTTGTAACACTGTCACCAACTTGGCCTGTGAGTTCATCTTGAAAAGCAAAGCTCCTGTAACACATGCATTTTGTAAAATTCAGTGGCAGTAGTAAAGCACTGGCTCCAGCTCTCATTTGCAAACTCATTCAACCTCCTGTCCCAACAGGTCCCTGCTGCTCACAGGTGACACACACAGTGGCTTGTTTTACTGTTGTATTTCAAGGCCAATGAATGCCACGCACCTCTAAAGGCCCCGATGCCAGGGGAATACAAACCAGAGGTACGATTCCTAATGCTAGTAGAGAAGGAAGGGAAAAAAGGATGAAAATACATCTGTGCACAGGACAGAGGGAGTAGGTTAGAGTCTGTGCTCTGCCTATAAGTCTGAAAGCAACTAGTAAGGAGAGGAAAACAATTTTTACCGACTTACGGCCTCAGCAAAAAGATTTGCAGGTATACTGTACACAGTGGGGCAGCTGCAGCTTTAGAAGCACCTGGCAAAACTGGAGCTGCACAACTATCCAAAACTTATCCACAAACTCTCACAGGTGCCTGGCAGAGAGGCAGCTTGAGCTCTGTGTAAACAAGGAACTTCAGACATCTCTTTTTGCACACTGAAGAGACAGGGGTGCTGAGGAGCACTTCTACTGGGATCATACACAGAAGATGAAGGCTAGAGCATAAAGCAAGGCATCAACAAGGGCTCTCTGGTACGTCTGGCCACTAATGGCATATAAAACCTTAACAGCAAGTCTCACACTCCTTTTGAGCAGACATGGTACATTTTTTTCTGCTGGCACCCTGGGCTGTTCAGTGCTTGACTTATTGACCACTGGTGAGTGGCAGCTCATTCTCTGAGCAGGATTATTTCCCTGAACTTTTGCACTAATTTCTTCAAGCGGCAGCAGCCAGGCTCCCTCAGTTTTGCCTGTAGCTCGCATGCCACTTACAAATGTTAGAGCACATCCAGCTTTCCCAGCACTGGCCCTCCACACACCCTTGTCAATAACTAGCACTTTTATTGGATGCACAGTCGTGGGGATAGCAGCATTCAATAGCAGCAGTTTAGCAGCTCCTCGATATTTTTCCTGACTTTGACAGGTTGGCGTTTCAAGATGATATCCACTTCTGAGACTGGGCTTCTGAAGAGATGCCAGATGTTCAGTGGGGCTCACAGTGTAGGGGACACTCCTGCACCCCTGCCCAATTGCTGTGCAGCACCTATTTCCTGCAAAGCTTCCCACTAGAGGGCAGAAGGCAGCCAGCCAGGACAGACACCCCGGTCGGTGGGGATACCCTGCAGCTCTCTCTGCACACTGGCCATTCTCAAAGAGCAGTTTGTAAAAGCAGCTGTACCCTCTCTGATCAGAGCGGTGTCCAACCCTACAGCTCACCTCTGCTAGAGGCCAAAGCAGGTGCCAAGGGAAGAGCACACAAACGGGGTGTGAACAGTGAGATACTGCCCAGAACACCCTCAGTCACAGCTTTCTGAAGCCAGGATACTCTCCGAGCCGTAAGTGGTATGTATGCACGAGACATGACTGATGCACACAGTGGGGAGGAGAGACCTACTCCACTTTCAGAAAACAAGTCCCTGTTGCCAGCAAACAGGAGAGATGAACTGGGACAGCAGCAGATTCTTCATCAGGTTCTGCAGCTCAGGCATCAGGACAGGTAGGTGGGCCAGTTACATGCTTTAAGATGAATTGCGTTGAAAGTTGACATTAGCCTCCTTTGAGAGCCTCCCCAAGTGAAAGTGTGACAGAGCACTCAAGGCTTCCTAGAACGCTTACCTCTGCCCTCCAGCAACTGCAACTCCTGCAGCCTGGGAAGGACAAGTAAAGCAAGCTGCACTGAAGTGGTTTAACACAGTAGGATGCAGAGGCCAAGGGCCATGACAGCAACCTCCTGGGGTCCCCAAGGACAGAGCTAGGGCCAGGGCCACCAAATGCCTACTGTGTATCCAGTCCCCCAGCTGAGCTACACAAGGTGGTGTGCAGTACAACAGCCCTGGTGCTGACCAGCAATCCTCCTCCCCTTGCCATGAGAGGCATTATGGCTCCCCAGCATCCTGGCTGACAGCAGCTTGCTACTAACAGCACACTTCTGCTAAATCCAGAGCAGACTTCCGCTACTGCAAATTGCAGTAGGCTTGACAGATCCCAATTCCCAAAGGAAATCCCAAAACATGAGGAAAAGGAAGACAAAACTCCCCAGGTTGCTACGTCCCTTCATTTCCTGTAAAGTATTGCACATCTTATGTAAGCTTTCCTACGCCTTAGGAAATCCAGCTTGTTTTCCCATGTGACTATTCCAGGTCCCCTCCATCATCCTACTTCCTTCCAAGTGCCTTTAGACAGACCAAACCCAAGACCAAAGCTCGAACATTCTGGAGGACAGGCTGACAGTCTTCCTTTTGTCTCTGAGGGTTATAACAGCAAAGGAAAACGAAGCCCGTGCTGGGAAGAGGTTCCTTCTCCCCACAGCAGCAAGCTGGCCACACTACGTGGGAGGAGGACAAAGGCCTGCTGGAAACAGCAAAGAATGTCAGTGTCAGCAGGGTATACATAACCAAGATAAAGATGACATCCTCAGTCAGGGCAAATGGGAAGCAAAGAGAAGAAAACAGTGTGAGTAGAAATGTTCACCTTTGTCTTCATGTCTGGCTGCTTGCAGCTGTTCAGAGTCCTCCTCACAGCCTTTTGTCCTGGTTGGCACACGCCCCCTGGGATGGCCATTCAAGACAGACTGCAGCCTCTTTTCAAAGAGGCCAGTGCAGGCCCTGCCAGTGTAGCACATGAAGTGGGGACTCAGCACCACTGTACTGAATTAGAGCACCTCATTTTTTGATTTTTCCTGTTCTCACAGGAGAGAAAGGCCATCCCAACAGCCATCATTGTTCTCATCTGACTAGGCAGTCCATTCTTAACTGCATTAAATATCACCATCTCACTGTGTATGTACATTTATCAGACATGCCCTGTTCTTATCAGCCCTTGGATGACTGCCTTTAATCTCTGGGCAGATGATCTCAGAACAGCTCTGGTTTGGTCAGAGACTTGCCCTTGAGCTTGCTGCACCCAGCTGCTCTATTAAACACACTCAGAAGTAGCTTTCCCACTGCAAGGACCATACACGAGTCTGCCCAGGAGCTCTGGCTGTCACCCAGAAGCCTTCTGGGAACAGCTTGCTCTCCCATCACAAGCTCTTAGCACTCCTCTGTGGCCAGATATATATTTCAGAGTATTGTAATACCACTGAGATGGCATGGCCACTCAACAGATGCATAGGAAAGAGCAGGTCACCCCCAAAGAGATACAATTAGGACAAGGCATGGCAGACTTATCAGGCTGGTCCAATGCACCTACAAGATAAGGAGGTTCAGAGAAGGGACAAGAACATTGAAAGACTGTGTGCATGTCTCAGCTGGTAGCAGTAGCTACTAGTGATCACCAGCAACAGCTTCCAGAGCTGCTTGCTACCTGTGTGACAGCAGCCAGGTGTGAGGGAGGATCGAGCACAGCCAGGTAATGGATTCACTGATTTTGTCTGAAAGACTTAAGATGCACTCAGCATTACAGAAGAGACTTGTTAGACTTACCTAGGAGCATATAAAAATCTTTCTAAATACCTAACATGATGTGCAAAATCGTTCTCTTCCCCAGGGCTTTCAAAACTGGTATCTGATAGCTGTAGCCAAAACAGGTTTTGGACCAAACACTATGTTTCTTTCACAGGGTTTTAACAGGTTATGCTTTTGAAACATCCTTGTTAAAAGAGACCAGCGAAGGTGCATTACTGAGTGTATACCAGCCCTAAACACAACGAGTCATGTGAGGAGAGGCAGATAAACCAGCAGCAGTGCTGTGCTCAGGCTGCATAGTACTTTTCTTTCCAAAAAGCTACATATATATACTACAGGTTGCTTTTGTGCTGCCAAAATGTCAATATGCAGGCAGTGCACATGGAACACTGCATTTCTAAAGAAAGACTGTCTGTTCAGGACAAGAGCTAAACATTGAGATGGCTCTGTTTGTTTGCTGACAATGGCATAGTGAGGAAGAGTGGGCTGTTCAAAGCAGGAGGGCAATGAAACAGAGGCATGAGAATGCATGGCTTCTTCAGTGCAGAGGTGACAGCATCCCAAAGCAGGACAGAACAGGCCCAGCTGCAACGGAAAAACAGCTCTCGTACAAATGCTTGATCAAGATCAGGGAGTATTCCCTGTTCTCAAGCATCCCCTCTAAGCACAGACATTTTCAATCCAGTGAAGCTGCTTGGGATCCCCACTTGTCAGGCTTGCAGCCGACTGCTCCAGAGCATGTGTGCTTTCCTCCTCGAGGCTGCTGAGCCATCCCTCTGAGGTTTGCACGTGCCTCATCACATGGGCAGTATCTCTCCAAGCAAATCACTTCTAAACAAGACAAATGTTGCTTTCACACACCAATGCAAATGCAATACTGGAGGCAAGTGGAAGATAAGCCTGTATGATGAAATGCTCCCTTCCTATTCCCAGGCATATTTCTCTAAGCACAACTGTCCTTTGCAGGCTCCATAGATACAGGCAGCTCCACACTTTTTGGACTCAGCAATACAGGCAGCCTTGAAAAGAAGTGGACCACTGTGGTCTACTAGCTGTTTGTGTTGTGGACTTGTGTCTAGGACACAAACTCTAACTGCTATGCTCATATCCAAGGCTGCTCAGTGTGGGACACTGTACACAGCAGATGAAGAGACAGCTTAAGTCAGTATATAACCTGAATGCCACCTCCTGACCTGAGGACTGCTTCCTCCTGAGAAATGCCACCTCCTGACACATCCCTGCTGTGGACTGAGGGCTCCCACATGCTTTGCCAGCCTGCAGGGCAAATTACATACAAGACGTACGTCCTTCCTACCCTCATTTCAGGGGCCATTTCTGCCAATGTGGCTAGTCACATCATGGGAGGAAAGAGCAGCTGCTAACGCAGCCACAGGCCTACCCAGCACCACAAACTCCCAAGCAGAATGAGCACTGCCTGTGTATGCAGCCAGCGCAGAACCCGGGCAACAGGAAACAGCCTGTCAACATTGGCAGGGCTATTCCTGCCCCTCCTTCTTAGCAAGTCTCCTATTTCCAGACAGAATTCAATACAGAGCTCTGCCCAGCAGAGCATATGAACTAGCAGGGACTGAACCTACCAGTATGGAGAGTTAAGGCAGGTACCACTGTTCTCTGAGGCAAGCTACAGCCTTTTGCACATCCAGCTTTCCTCTGTGCTATTAACACTTTCTTTCTGA